TTTTTTTTTCCTTTTTCTTCTTTTTTTCTTTTTTTTTTTTTTCGAGAGTGTAAGGCTGCATTAGCTATCCCCGGTGGGCATTTGCTTTCCCTATATTTTTCTTGCATAGATGAGGAACTGGATGCTTCGGCAGAGCCTCTTTCGGAGGCTGAAAAACACCTCTGCCGCCAAGGCACAGAAACAATTTCAGAGGAATGGTCTTTGCCAGCACTCTCGCTGCCGCCACGACCGCTCCGCAGAAGAAACCATGCACGGACATATTAGCTATCCCCGGTGGGCATTTGCTTTCCCTATATTTTTCTTGCATAGATGAGGAACTGGATGCTTCGGCAGAGCCTCTTTCGGAGGCTGAAAAACACCTCTGCCGCCAAGGCACAGAAACAATTTCAGAGGAATGGTCTTTGCCAGCACTCTCGCTGCCGCCACGACCGCTCCGCAGAAGAAACCATGCACGGACATCTGGGGGCTGCCGCGCAGTGCCGGGATCCAGCTTCCCTCACGCCAGGTCACGCCAGAGCCAGGGCACACCAGGGATCCTGTCTCACGGATGCCGTCACTTCAGCCGTGGAGGTCAGGCTGACTCCTGTGTACAGCCCGTCTTGACCTGAATACTTAAGGTTGCTGCTTTCAGGACTGGTGCTCTCTCCTGGGCCAGACATCACCGACGAGCTCGCCTGGAGAGGGGGGAGGAGCAAAGAGAGATTTCATTAGGCAGGTGAGCTTTGCAAGCACCGTGGTGTGGGTGGGAGCGCAGCGGGCTCGGGGCACAGCCGCTATCCCAGGATTTCTGTGGAAAGCCAGGGTTTGCCCTCAGCTTGCCCCTGTGCCTCGAAATCCTAAAACTGAAAAAATGTCCCAGGGTCAGCCCACTCGTTCAGCCCCACTGATGGGAGTGATATCTGCGTTTGGAAATCAGCACGTGGTTATCTTCACAGCAAGGCGGAAAAGAAAATGCGTGATGTGCAGAAAAACCTGGAAATCGGACCATGATGAAGGAGGTAATGTGTGTGTGCCCCGCTGCCCCCTACTGAAGGGACACACGTGCCAACACCAAAAATGTGACCTGGGAGTGGTGGCGCCTATAGTTTTGCTTCCCCGGTGGGAGAAGCCCGATACATCCCAATTCTCCAGCAGTGGGTGTGGAGCGCCTCCTGGAAATCAGCCTTCTTTGGCTCCCTCAGACCTTGAAATGCCAAAAATCATTCCTCACCCTTCAAAACGTTAGCCACAACCACTTCATCCCTCTAAGACTGGCCACTAAAGGAGATGCTCCTTTCATCTCAAGTGGAGAAACACTATGCCTTTGAACCAGGAGCCTTTTTGTTCCGCCACCTACACGCACAAGACAACGCACAGGGGAGCCCCGGTAGGCACAAAGATGAACCTCTGAGCTGCACTGGAACCAGTCCATTTACTTTAACAGAGAAATGGAGAGTTACAAAGACAAAGAAACGATCATTTTTTCCATGAGGCTGAGCAGATCCGCTAAAGAGGAAAAATTCGCAGTGCCAGACAGAGAAGGGGCAACGTTTTCACCTGATAAAGGAAATGTTTAAGAGCTGACTTCATACAAAATTAACTCTTGGATATGTCAACTTTAAAACCTTAATTTACTTGTTAATGGATAGTCTTTGGACAAGATTCCTTAAAAACAAAAACAACAAAAAAAAAGGCTATCCTAAACTGTGACTGCAGAAGCTTCCTGCCTGCTGTTTAAGTGAAAAGTATACATATTTAATCATTTTACAAGAGTAGAGCTCTTGGCTCTCCTGGAGCCGTGCCAAGCTAGCAGTCCTGACATAGGAAAAGCAAGGCTTCATTTATTCAAAGGTAATTTCCAAACGGTGCTGTGCAGGGTTCTTGTTGCCGTGTTTAACTCGGGGAAAACCTCACCTTCTGAAAGAAATACTCATTGCCAGCGGTCACTTTTGTCTGAAATAACCCGGACTCCAATATTTTCTTTAGCTTTTTTAAAAATGGTTGATCGCTGCTATTCTTCCACCCGGTCATCAACCAGGATCCCGCCCCATCAGTCGCTACCCAGAAATGCAGAGATGGAAGGAACAACTGCTTGCCCCCGAAAAACAGCCAAAATAGCTCTAATCCTAAGAAATATGTTTTATCGCTCTCTTAAATACACAATTGCCAATCAATGACAACGACTCTCTGCATCCTCTTTCCCTGTGACTACGCACGGAGAATTCAATGAGGCAGGTTTCACACTAACCTTTGGGTCTGGTTTTGGTCTTTCATCAGCCTAGTTTTTCAAAAAGGCTTTTTTTATTTTTAATACATCAAATAGACTCCTGTTAGCACAAAAGACATCATTTTTAACAGCTTGATTCTCCCCACAGCGGAAGAGGGGTTTAAATTAGAGTTGAGCAGCGTTTGCTCAACCTGAGCTAAAAATACTAGGAGCTGCTTTGAAAGGTTCCCGTTTGCCCATATTTGCCGCCGTTGTTCCGGTAGGCAAATATCTTATCACTACCTGTTTTTTCCGGGCTTGGAAAGTGTAATTCAGCCTTTTCCTGATTCAGCCCTATAAAGGTGGGGCGCGCAGGGACCTGCAGTTTCCATGTGGGGTTATCAGCTACCCCTCCCTCAGGCACCCCAGAAGGGAGGACGCAGAGGCACGTCCTGTTTGAAGACTGCCCATCCCTGCCCGACCAAGGCCGGATCCTGGCTCCATTGAGCCAGGGCGGGCAGGACCTGGGCAGGACCGCCGGGCCTGGAAACCCCACCCCGGTAATGTCATGACAAATCCAGGCAGCTCGGGCAGCTCCCAAAGTGAGACATGGAAAACAAACTTTAGCTCATGAAAAGGACATGGCTGAATCACAGCTCTGCTCCTGAGCCTGCTTACCTCTGCTCTTACTTCTCCAGCTTCAAGGGATGAAAGATAACAGAAGCTACAGTTAGTTATTAGAGGACATTTCTCAGCTGGAATAAATAAGCTGAACAATGCTGCTGAAGTCAAACAAGCTCTGCTAATTCACAACAGCTGGCTCTATCAATAAAAAGGTAATGGATTTATTTTTATTGCTGAAATCTGATAATAGGATAGATAATCAACTGAAGCTCAGCTTCCTGAGGAAAAAATGAATGAAGCCCGTTGGGAAGAGCTTGCTTCCCAGACAAACGGAAGAAGGTTGCATTTGTATCTGCAAAGGTGGTTTAAGGATCCCTTCTTTTTACCCAAACTATCAGGAGCTGGTCATGGGGCAGCCCCCATGCAGGTTGTCTGGATGGGAGGTGACCTCTCTGTAGAGGACCTGCCTACCACGCTCACAGGGAGACCTCAGTCAGAGCGACAGAGGGACTTAGACACCTACATCCTACCCAACCCTACCAGCAGTACCCCGGAGCCAAATTCACCCCCACTAAAGCTGTCCCAGATCAAAACCAGGCTGCTCAGCCTGTGCTGGCCAGCGCTTGGGGAACAGCACTGGCATCTCTGGCTGAAGGACTCCTTATTTCTTCCACCCACTCCTTCCTGCACCGTCTGCCCACCACAGAGAGCGGGGAGAGGGGAGGGACGCCCCCCTAGCCTCCCCCCACGCCTCCGCAGCCGAGAGGCAAAAGCTCCAGACAAGGAGTTGTGCTAACAGCTGGAGGGGGTGGCAAGTGGCCTTGACCTAGACCTTTGCTCTATCAGATAGACATTTGCTCCATCCGCTTCACAGGTTCAAAATGCGCCACAAATTTTGGACATTACACTAGGTCCGTAGTAAGCTGAGTCTCAGCTGATACTCTCTTCCTCTTCTGTTAGCCTAGTTTAGTTTCACTACACTTAAATGATAACCGTAGTCAGCTGAAAAACACTTGCAAAAACTTCTTTTGCATATAACATGTTGTGGCAAACTGCAGCGGAGTCCTTAATTTTCCAGCCTCAGCCTCCCTGTAGTAACTGCCATCCACACCAAGAGCGCTTTCTCCCAATACTGTCACTCCCTGGTTTCTGAAGAGCAAGTCTCAGCACTGCAAAACCACAGCTTTTTTTTCTGAATTAGTGACCCTCTTACTACGCAAAGTCGTCGTCTCTTGCCAGTCCAATTGATCCTTTGTTTATATTACAGATGTGTAAGTTTACATATCTTCTAATCTCGCCTTTGTATTATAGCAACATAAAACTGTGTTTAATACTTCATCAATTTCCTAAGGGAGGCAACTTCCAGCGTGGCTTGGGAAAGCTGATGACCCCTCTGCTGTCGAGGGCTGTATGAGTAATTGGCTTTATTGCTTTGGCAATAAAACAAAACCAAGCAAAATGTATGTGTCCGTATGTATATAGAAGTTTTGGGTAGAACCAAAAATACTTTTTCCTTGGTTTTCCCTGCTGAAACAAAAAAAGCTGGATTGCCTTGTTCTGTTTGATAGAAAATTAAATGCTTTCTTTTGGATACGTGTACACCGAGCAAAGAAAATGAATCACTGATTTTATGAAACTGAGTGGGGAGAAGAAAGCAGCATCCTATTTTGTCCAGGAGTGAGGACAAACACAGAAGAGGTAGGAGACCAAGAGATTTAAACTGGAGCACCAGATCTCCCAGCATAATACCCTGACTACCAGACTATTTGGTATTTTAGGTTGCCATGTTCCTCATGCCTCCTGTTGATCTTATTCCACCTGGTTGAGATAAATATTTACTCATACCAGGACTGAGGCACCGTGTTCCCATTTTCCAGGTGAAAGTCCTAACATCCACGCTGGTGAGCCTTTCTCATAGAAACTCTGTCCCAATGGCTAGGAAATTATTCTATACCAACTGAAATCTTACCATCAGACAGCCTGAAGGACCCTCGGCCATTAAACTTTCCAACATCCAGGTGGTTGGGAGATTTTTTTTAAGAGGTTGAGTCTCTGGGTTCATCCAGACTCTGGGAGATACTGTACGGAGGCTGATTCCCTGTTGCCTGCATGAATGTCCTACCAATCTGCTGCCTAAAAAGGAGCGAACACCACCACCTCTAACCATCTCACAAACCCTCTTCTGAAAACAAAACAAAGCAAATGCAGGAGGAGCTATTCAGTGAATTCAGCCCAGGTTGTCGGGCATTTTGGGGACAGTTAAAACTGCATTTTCCTGCTAGCTCACCACCCGCCGAGGCCGTTTCAGTCAGCTCTCCCACTTTCCAGCCTACAACACTGAAGAGCCAGTCCTGAACCACTTCTCAAGGCAAACCTCCAAGGGAAGTAAGCGCTAGTTTTACCTGCAAGACAACTGTCCTAAGTTATTCTATGGTGTGTGATTATGGTCCTTCTAAGAAAGCTCCAAACTGGAGGCAAAGGGCGCAGTAGAGTCTTCTGAAAGAAGAGCTCCCCTGGTGCTGCTGAGCCTTTACTGACATCAGCCCTGGCTCATGGAGCCTCCATGTCCTGCCATAAAAAGCAGATTTTACAGCAGTTTTCATACTGCCTTTTATCCTAATAAGGGAATAAAGTCCTTCTGGTAATCACACGAGTGGAGCCCCTGCATGGAAATGGATGGGTGTGTGCTACAGACCATGCCCTTCGTTTAGCAAATTATTCTGCGTAGCTTTTCTCTGTACAATTTCAGCAGCATCAAAGGGAAAGCAGGTATAGATGCAGATGCAGGCTGTCTGAAACCTTCAAATCTTCTTTTTATGGGGTTGTAAGGCAACTTCATATATCATGCAGCTGGACCTTTTCCATATTAGTAACACAGGACGCCCAGTACTTACACTGCTTAGGAAAACAGAAATAGGCCTAAATCCTAGATCCAGATGTGAATTTGGCAAATAGCCCCTTTACAATGGGACAACGAAATATCTCCGATCCAAACACTTCTACATTTTGGGATGTTTGAAATCAACTTTGCACCCACAGCAATTCATTAATCATATCTTTTATATGTTTAAGCTTCAGCTAGAACATAAAATCAACATTTAAGTTTCTTGCTAATTTGTCTCAAAATTGGCATCATGTAAGATTCCCTTCATGAAATGGATAGTCTCAAAGACATTTCCAAGAGTAATTGCTGCCCTTCTCTTTTTCTGCCCTCCCCTCTTTATTTGACTTTAAAAGAGATAAAGAAAGGTAGGGCAAAAAGTGAACATTACTGACACAAATGAATTCTGCTGAATTTCATTTCCATTAAGATTTCTACATAACTGGGAACTCTTTTGGCAGCCTCCCATAAAAGGCATAATAAATTGCTTTTGTACCAGTAGAGGAATTCATTTTCTCTGTTTCATTTAGCAACAACATTGCTGTGAATTTCAGACAACAGTTTCTAAAACGTCATCAGATTTCTCTGCCTAATGTCAATTTGGCATTTTTCCCCTCCTCACAGAATAAGGGCTGGAGAAGTAAAAACAGAACAAAACAAAAACAAGTTGCCATGCCAGTTGCGTAACGCACGGGGAATGAGCCAGGTTCGCTCTTCCAGCAGGTGCCCGTGTTTCGGCAACGTCACCAGTGCCGCTGGCAGGAATCGATACCATTCTTGTTAAAGCGACCAAAGATTACAGAGCCTGGATTCATCCATCTGAGGGTTTTCTCCCTCCTGACACGGCCTGGAGAAGTTTATTCTCCTTGTGCAAAGCCTTTGCCTGTTCTAAGAATAAATACAAACCTTCGGGCTATCGATGGGTCAACTCAAATGAAAAAAAAATCAAGGAAAATAGGAGTCTAGTAGTAGAGCATCTTTGCTTCGGGATGTGATCAGATTACAGGCTGCCTTGCTCTAAAATGCTGACATCCCTTCACTCCCGACAACTTCAATGGCCCTTATGAGTGCTCAGCCCCTCCCATGGGATTTAGGCCCATAAGAAATTATTTCACTTCCTTCGCAGCTAGTGATCACGTTCCCAAATGATGTCTGTGGTAACAGGAGCCAGTCTTAACAGCCACCGCTTTCTACTTTCAACCTCCAGTCTCCCCCGTCCTCATCTCATTGAATCGATGATGCTTGGGCAAAGCCAGGAGCCCAAGGGAAGGGTGTGGCCATACCCACAACATGTCCTGACAACAGCTCCCCTGCAAATCCCGTCCTCCTTTACATACATTTGGGGCTGGGGTGCATGGGTGGGAGATCACGAGCCCCTCATGTAAGGTGGGGGAGAGTCAAGGGGATGCCCATATGCCTGGTCACTGCTTCAGCGCATTTCACAGCCTCCCTCCATCGCTTCCTTTTATTGAAGTTTTTCACGAGAGGTAATTTGCAAGTGCTTTGCATACGCAGTGCACATCTGATCGAATCACAGTGGGGAAAAGGCTGGGCAGATGTTACTGTGCTGCCTGCTGGATACAAGGGAACAGATTTCCCCGGTCCTCATGCACATGTCCTCTCCCAGCCTGATCTACTACAGAAAAACCAGGGAGAACTGAAGTCCTGGCACTGGAGGATGCCGTCGTGTGATTAAGAGCAGCCTCAGGGTCCCTGGGAGTTGCTCTTAGTTGCTAACAGCTCTCAACTAGCCTTTTGGCTCACAAATCGTGCCCCCACCCTGCTCTCCTCTGGTACCCACACAACTCCAGCTGGCAAAATTATATTACAAACGGTACTATTAAAATTACAACATAAAGATTATTAGTAATGGGTGTGATACGCTCTCCTAGGGAGAAGGGCTACAGAAAGGAAGGCAGGCTTTAGCCAGCCAAGAAAGCAACGGCATAGAGGAAACGGGATCTCGTCTATATGGCCTCTCCTTCCCCAGGCAGCATACAGCTGCACTGCCTACAGCCTACACTGCTGCCTCGGCCTCAGCTGGGATTGTGCTTCTAATTCTGTCCATTCCTCTGATCGGGAGTCCTGCTTAAGGCAATCAAAGGAAAATTTAAGGAAAATCTGGCTGCGTTTTTTCCTTTGCAAATATTAGGAGAGAGCCTAAAACAGGGCCTGGTAGTTCACTGGGGGGAGCCTGAAACCCTGTAACAGTTCACTTTTTGGTTGGTGTTTCTCTTTTTCTGATGTGATCTGTTTATTTTATTGGACTGACAAGGTTTTCTCATGTCAAAGACAAGCCCTTTTACTAATAGCCTTGTCTGGCAGCATCCGAACCCAAAACCCAGTGCCTCTGAAACTGGGTGGCCCTGTCAGTCCACGAACAATCGCGTTTGCTAAAAATGTTTTTTTTCCTCCCCTTGTACAATGAAACTTTGTACGTCAGGAATTAAACTATTGAAAGGAATTTGGATGTGGGAATGCCGAGACATATTGAAAAATAGTTATTATAAACAATGTCTTCTTTTTATTAATAAAGGAGTAGAGAAAGCCACATTAGGAAAGCTTTTCAAAGAAATGATGTGGCAGATTAAAGGATACAGAAGGCCCGAGGGGTGAGTGCGGATACGGATATGTATAGCCAAGGGGTTAGAAATTAATCTGCATTAAGCTTCGCAACTTTAGCGGTAGTATTTGTTATCACACATGCTAACTGAGTGAAGAAAGGAAGTTTGAGACGGTTTGAGTACATGGTGTAAAATAAGGATCAAAACTAAAGCAGGGGATGATCAGCGCTCCTCTGGTGCTCCTCTGGAGCTCGGTGCTGCCAGATGCTGAGCATCTGGCCCCTGAAGAGCCCTCTGTGAGGAGAGGGCTGATCCCCTACGCACTGCAATCAGCCGGGCTCCCCAGCCTGGTTTCAGCTGGGTCTGGATCGGGGTTTAAGCGCACATCTTAGTTTAAAACAAAAGCCTTTACGTTTCCCTCCATACAGCAGGATAACGTTTTGCTGGGGTTTACCACTCATTTGGGATAATGCATACAAATGCGCAGATATATTAAACAGCTTTTGGAAAACGTGAGCGCATCAGTGCCTTGAATTATAAATTCAGATCATTTCAGAAGAAAAGGGGTACATTCACAATTGTTTCGTGAAAGGATCAATTGGGCATGATTTATTGTCTTTGCTCCGAAAGAAAACCTTTGAAATAGAAGAATCTGAACATTTCAAAACAAAATGTCTGGGGTTAAGTCATGGTTAACTTCATCATAAAAATTATATAGATCTTAATTAAGAGGTTTTTAAAGTACTTCAGCTTGTCGTTGTGTTTACAGCTATATGTAATATCCTCCAAAAATCTTGTTCCAGTATCAGCTAACAAAACTGGAAAGTTTGTTTAGATTATTGTTCTGCTAGATAAGATAAAAGCTGCGATAACATTGCACAGTGATCAGCCTGCTTACAGACACGGACACCGGCTTATGGCTTACCCCGGAGGCTGCAGTCTGTGTGCTGGGAGAAGTGGTTTTGCTACAGTCATCTGAGTTAGTAGAAGACGTGGATGTTGGAGTCATAGGAACCGCAGTAGTACTGTTACCTGAAAGATCGGGAACTGGTATTAAAAACAAATATTTTCCAGCCGGGGGAAAAAAACTCTTGCAGCTCGACTGTGTTATCTTTTTATATTTACCAGAGCATGCCTTTGACTTATTTATGTTCTTAGGTTTTCGCTTCCTGGTCTGAATTCCTTCTTTTTTCATAGCAAGAGGTCGGGGAACCTGAAAAAATTAAATTTCCACACTGATCATAGAGTTGTATATATACTCTAATACCAAAAATCAAAATACACTACAAGATCAAATGGTGATGTTGAAAACGCCTGTTCAAGTCATATATAGCAAGTCAATTTTTCCTGTGTCACGACAGCGATTCCAAAAAACCTTTGCATTTTATTCGGGCAAAGCAATGGATTGTTTCAAGGGGAGTTTTATCTGAATAAAGAAAGCGGGGAAACTTTCTTCTTGATACGGCCTAAGCAGTTTTACCAACACCTCAGTCAGTCCATAGATAAACAGCATGCTTTTAAGGAAAAACAGCATTGTTTGGCCATAGGTCGTATGAAATTAAATTGGACGGGGTGTATCTGATCCCTGACTCCTTATTCCAGTCGGTCAGTTAGGAATTATCTCCAGTGGCTGATTCTGGAAAGCAAGAATGCATATGAGGGGAAAAAATACTCCTCTTCCTGTGGACCAGCTAGGCAAACCAGATCATCGCCGGTAAGTGTCTTAGGACAGAAGCTTTAGGCCATAATCAGTTCAGCATTTGTTCTTACAAGCAGTTCTGCTCGTGATTCAGCTTTATAGTATCCAAATTTATGTTTATAGAGAAAATGTGCTCAAAAAACAGCTTTGTGTTTTGTGTCATCACAATGATAATCATTATACAGAAAACATTGGTTTAAAATATATTTTAGTGTAATGATAACATGAGTTTGGGAAAAGACAATTCAGGCATATGCTTATTATCATTATAATGTTTAAACCTGTGATATAATTTGCTTTTTCCTTGAGGAATAGACCATGTCCCAACCACTCCTAATGCCCTCGCTCTTCAAACACTTGTGCTTGACTGTAACTTAATCCACAGGGGCATAACAGGCTCCAGGTCTCACCCAAAACATATGCCAGCACATTCAGGATAGAGCTATTTTCTTCCTCTATTATTGCCTAGCAAAGGCTGGAATGACATTTAAAGTTTTGCTGGCATAGCTATGGCTTGAATTACATTTAAAGTTTTGCTGGCATAGCTATGTCTGTCCATGAAAAACCGTCTTATTAAAGGTCTAGGTTTTTTTTTCCCCACTGAAGAGCTGGTTTAAATCCCAGTGGCAAAAAGACCTCTGCCACTCAGCCAGAGGTGGTTTCTTTGTACAAATCTATCAGGAGAGCTACAATGGCAAACGCATAACTTGTCAAAAGCATAACTTGCTAAAACGGTATAACCATTTTCTAACGCTGGGCATTTTTCGGTCATTTTATCCATATTTTTTTTAACTCCACGGTCCAAACCGTGAGCCGAGACCATTAGCATCAACAGAAACATTGCCCTGACTTGAGGAAGCCCGATGTCACCCCCCAAAACTGCCGGGCGCCCACCGGCAGGAGGACTGTCCCTTTCCCAAAGGAGCATCGGAGCCGGCGGGAAATCTCCCGCGGCGAAGTGCCCGCTTACCCCGTGGAGCTTCATGTAGAGGCCGCAGGCGTTGCAGACGGGCTCGCCCTCCGCATTCCTGCGCCACAGGGTGGTGGTCGTGGTGTGGCAGTTGGCACAGGACAAGCCCAGCCGCCGGGACGAGGGCTAGATCCAAGCGTAGGCAAACACAGGCGTAAACAGGCGGGCAGGAGCAAATGATTTATGTCTTTATGGTTTATAAAAAGTACTTTAACACGCAGCGGGGACGGTAGGAGGTTTTTTTATAGCATCTGTCAGCGACATCCCAGAATTAAAACAAGATTATCCTCATTTCGGAGACCAGAGAGCTGACGTGAAGAGGTACTGCGAGTCTGCAACTCTGGGCAGTTGCGGCAGAGGCAAAATTCACATTTTGGGAGCTGCTGACCCGGGGACCTCTGTTCAGACCACCGGGCACTGGCTCTCCCTCCAGCAGGACAGCTAGGAAACCACTCCACTACAGCTCCATCCAGCTGAGGAGAAGGCACATCACTCCTGTGCCATCTCTCCAGCCGGTTCAACGCCCTCTCCCCTGTGCGGTGGGCAAAGAGGCAGCTCAGAACCTGCCACCGATACTCCCGACTCATCGGAAAAATCAGCCACTTTAATCACCTTCCCTCGGTGGCACCACGGCTGGGGAAAACAAACTTTACCGTGCGCCGGGGGGTAACACGTACAACAGCAGCATCTTTAGAAAAAGATCTTTTTATCATCGCCCGTTTTATCCTTGCGCGAAAAACAACGTGCCTCGGAAGCGTGTTTTACAGAACAGAGCTTCCCCTCGGCCACCAGAAAAGCTGGTGGGTGACAACAAGGTCCCCACTGCAAACAAGCCATTTATGACGCTCTTCCGTGGAGTTTGGAGCCAAGATGAAGCAACCTTGTATCAGAAATAACCGTATAACCCGGAGCTTTATGGCTGCAGGCTGTATATCATAAGTGAAGGCAGTCCTCATAAACATGTGAAATGAAGGTGAATGGGTTATAAAAGTCCCTGTAACAAGTGATCTCTTTTACGTTCATCACAAGCAAAGAATTCCAGCTACATCATAAATCCAGTCTTTTCAAAGTATTGCATTGTCAAAAAAAATATTAAAAAATCTGTGCCTAGCTCTGTGTCTGGCAGCTGAACAAGTTTACACGGAGAAGTCAGTTTTAGAGGTTTGCATTAATCTTATTCTGACTATAAAGCGCCCATAACTGAAATTACTAACTTAAGGGTACAATGCCCTTCCTCTTGAATCATTTACTGCTGGGTTGTTAGAAGTAACTCGGTCACCTTTGATACCACAGAGCTGCCTGCCACTTGGGAAACCGATAAAAATGTTTTGAGAATGAAGAATATTCCAGAGTAATAACCGAGTTTCTTGAATTTTATCTGTTTGAGTTTCTTTAGCAGTAAGCTGTCGTCTTACACCGCAGCTCAGAAAGAACTCCAGATTAAATATGAATTTTGTAACTTCGAATCAGTAATCCATTATCAATTGCACAGCAAAAAAACCAACAGCCAAGTGTAATATAGGCTGAAGTACATGCATATACTTTTTAATCTTAAGAATCCAGGTCTCAGGAAAACAGAATTTTTGACCTTGTTATTAAATATATATGCACACAGCATCCAAACTGCGCTCCTCGATTCAATACGAGTTTTACATGGATTGGGTAAAAAAAAAGCTGGTCTTAACACATATGCTTCATTTTCTTTCTTTGCAAGTGAAATGCTGTCAGACGCTTCACTCCATTAAATCTTTCTTTCTTTTGTATGTGGTCTGGTATAAATCTTCATATATTTTATTTCAATAGCTTTTGCTCATTCCCGTATCTAAACAAATGGTGGGGGGGTGGCATGTTTTGAAGCTAAAATGACTTTTCTGCTGCAGGAATTTTATCAGAAAATTCGGGGCAATCTAAACATGTTTAGCATTTTCAAAACATTTTCCCTTCTCACCTACATATTTCCAACTGTATGAACACACAGTCATGGTTGATTTATAGTTATGGCCAGGGTACTCGGTAGGGATTGTTACGCAGAGCTATTTCAGAGTTATTCCGCCGAGGTGTCGGGCTGAAATCGGGCTGCAGTTTGACTCTGTTTTAGTCTCCCCACCCCCACCCCTCCTTCAAAAAAAAGAAAAGAAACACAGAAATGCCAGAGCCGGGTATCAGCTACTTGAAATCTGCATTGGGCCAGGGTGCCACGGCCAGTCGAGCTCTGACACTTCAGACAAGCGGCAGATCTGGCCCGTCTGCTGCATTTGTCCCCGGTAATGAGGTAACACCTTGTGTCATGAAATTTAGTGGACGAGCAGCTAGAAAAAACGGGCACCCAGCAGTAATTAACCTCTGGCTTAAAGTTAAATTAACTCTTTGGCTTAAAGAAAGGTCTTTAAGCAGAGGTGGGGTTGGTTCGTGAGCGCTTACTGTCTGCTCTGATCATCGCACGTTTGGTTTTTGTCCCCCACCCCCCCGCCATAAGGGCATTAAATTCAAACGGTTGTGAAATAAAGAACGGGATGTATTTTAATGCTAGGAAAACAGGCATGGAGCGAAGCAGCTGTCGTGATTGAAAGGGGCTTGGAAAGGCTGATGGGTTTGATACACTGTCTCCATACACAAGGGTCCAAACATCAGCTTGGATTATACCGGCGTGATTTATTGTGGCTCGCTCGGTAACAGCCATTACTGAAGAGCGTATTCTTTCTCTCTGCTGACCTCCACCCAGATTTGCTAAACATAACGTGCAGTTCCCGCTTGTTAAATTTTCTCCTTGCCTATTCAGTGCCAGCCTGAGTTATAAACAGGGGTTCTGGTTTGTACTATTTATTTCCCCCCCTAGTTTTAGGAGTATATTTTTAGAAAAATTGCCGCTCATTTCTTAGGAGTAAAACAAAACAAAGGCTATTATCATTGTTTAAACAATTGGTTTTCTTTGAATTATATACAAAACTTGCTTACATTCCCAAGGATCGAGCTCTCAGCAAACAAAGCAGGTCTGGAGAAATTCCTAGCCCTCTGAACAAACACTTTCCAACCTTGATTTTTTTTTTTTTTTTCTGTTGGAAACGTCCAACATCAGCAGCACAACTTTCTTCCAAGCCGCCGATGCCCCCTCACCGACAGGGTCCATCAACCCAAAAAGCCAGGCTAGCCCGTGCCCGGTGTGCGGCTTACCGGGGGCAGAGGGCGATTTCGGCAGCGTAGGGCCCGAAGGTGGGCCCGAAGCGGTGCCCAGAGGGCTGCCAGCCCTGTCGCCCACGCCATGACCACTTTGGCCTGCCAACCTGGTCAGGAACCCCGCTTTGGTTCTGCAGCCGGGGGGATCACCGGGCTAACATGCTCTGATTGCGCTCCCCCATCCTTGCCCCCACTTTCCCCCTGGCTAGCGCTGACTGGGGGTGCCTCTCGCCCCCCCTCCTCCCCTCTATCCCCACTCACCACTCTCTTCTGGGGCTTGATGAGGGGCCGGCTGAGGCCGTTCATTTTGGTGTAGAGCCCGCAGGCGTTGCACAGGTAGTTGCCGGTGCCGTCCCTCCTCCACAGCGGGGTCTGGATGGAGCCGCAGTTGACGCACTCCCGGCTCGCGGACAGGTCCTCCAGCAGCTCTGGGGGGGCAGGAGCAGAGGAGAGAGGCGGTGGGGCACGGCCGCCGGCGGGT